AGCTCTAGATCATGGCCGCAGAGAGGGCTTTACTGAACCCATCACCAAGAACCCCAAATATTACTCAGGATTTGCCTAGTTTTCCTGTTTCATCTATTAGCGAAGTAAAAGTCAACCTTGATAATCCCAGATTGGTTTCCGGGATGGACTCTCAAAACCCAACTGAAAGTTCATCAAGTAATGAGATTTCTCTTAAATCTGCATCAAGAAGAAGTCTTTCTTCAAATCCATCAAGGGCTTCACGTGGGAATTCAATTGGAGCAGGCAGTTTTCGTGATCTAGGATCAAAACCTGTGAGGCTGGGGTCTAGACGAGGTGATTCCGAGGTGTTTAGTGCATCCCAGAAAGAAATTAGCGATGAAGATGCTAGGCTGGTTTACTTAAATGACCCTGCAAAGTCAAATGAGAGGTTTGAGTTTACTGGGAACTCAGTTCGCACTGCGAAATATTCTCTCATTTCGTTCATACCTCGAAATTTGTTCGAGCAGTTTCATAGAGTTGCATATGTATACTTCCTTATTATTGCTGTGCTCAATCAGCTCCCCCAGCTCGCAGTTTTCGGCAGGACAGCTTCCATTTTGCCACTCGCCTTTGTGCTGCTAGTTACAGCAGTTAAAGATGCTTTTGAAGATTGGAGAAGGCATATGTCAGATAGAATTGAAAACAGTAGATTGGCATGGGTTTTGGTCAATGATCAGTTTCAAAAAAAGAAATGGAAGGACATTCAGGTTGGTGAGATAATCAAGATTCAGGCAAATGACACTCTTCCTTGTGATATGGTGCTGCTCTCCACTAGTGATTCAACTGGGGTGGCCTATGTGCAGACTATAAATTTGGACGGAGAGTCGAATTTGAAGACCAGGTATGCAAAGCAAGAGACCCTTTCAAAGATTCCTGAAAAGGAAAAGATTCGTGGGTTGATCAAGTGTGAGAAACCCAATAGAAACATCTACGGATTTCAGGCAAACATGGACGTTGATGGGAAACGACTGTCACTTGGGCCCACCAATATTATTCTTCGAGGCTGTGAGCTCAAAAATACCTCTTGGGCAATTGGTGTTGCAGTATATTGTGGCCGTGAGACCAAGGCAATGCTTAACAACTCGGGAGCCCCATCAAAAAGGAGCTGGCTTGAGACACGTATGAATTCAGAGATCATTGTACTCTCTGTGTTTCTTATTGCTTTGTGTTCCGTCGTCTCCATCTCTGCTGCTGTGTGGTTAAGGCGCCACCGTGATGAGTTAGACACTATACCCTTTTATAGAAGAAAACGTTTCAACGAGGGAGACCCAGAGAACTATAATTATTATGGATGGGTGGCAGAGATATTTTTTACGTTCCTCATGTCAGTTATCGTGTTCCAGATCATGATCCCTATTTCTTTGTACATTTCTATGGAGCTTGTCCGGGTTGGTCAGGCTTACTTCATGATTCGAGATTCGCAAATGTACGACGAGGCTTCAAATTCAAGATTTCAATGTCGGGCGTTGAATATAAATGAGGATTTAGGTCAGATAAAGTATGTTTTCTCTGATAAAACTGGTACGCTCACTGAGAACAAGATGGAATTTCAATGTGCAAGCGTATGGGGAGTAGATTACAGTGATGGGAAGGCCAGCACACAAAATCAGCAAGCTAGATATTCTGTCAAAGGTAGTCAATCTTTGTTATTAACTATGTATTTTCAAGTCTGAAAATATCGATTTGTTCTCCAAAAACTAATTTTCTCTTTTTTGGATGTTCTTTGCGTGCCTTGTTTTGTTATCAGTGGATGGGAAGGTTGTGAGGCCGAAGATGACCGTGAAGGTTGATCCTCAGCTTTTAGAATTATCAAGAAGTGAAAGGGATACAGAAGAAGTCAAACATGTCCACGATTTCTTCCTTGCATTGGCAGCTTGCAACACAATTGTGCCTCTTATTGTCGAGGACAAGTCTGATCCTACCATGAAGTTGATGGATTACCAAGGGGAGTCTCCAGATGAACAGGCACTGGCTTATGCTGCTGCAGCGTATGGCTTTATGCTTGTAGAACGGACTTCTGGCCATATAGTTATTGATATTCACGGAGAAAGGCAAAGGTACAATTTTTCCATTGCTTCTCTCTCCGGTTTTTTTTTTTTTCCATTTCTTTGCCATACTTTGTATTGTTACTGTCATTATTCTACAACCACTTCATTGATAAGTACTGCTGCAACTAAGTTGTGCATCGTTACATTACAAAGCATTTGAAAGACGTGAATGAAGTGATTTGTCTACCCATTTTAGAGTATACTGCTACATTCAGCCTTTTGCTGGAGGAGGATTAAAAGGTTTTCACTCTTTTGGATGAAAATTTTTAATTTTTTAAAATCCCTTCCATAAAGGGTTGTTTTCTGAGATATAGGCGACCACGTTCTATGTTTTATCTCAACTGTGGATTATTTTTCAATCATTATGGATCGATGAAGTAATCGGAATAGCGATGGCACGGCTTGGAGCTGCTACAGTTGGTTACTTGTTCCACTGACTATTGTTGCCAGCTTGAGTTTTCTTCCTGAAAAGCTGGTTCTTACTATTTCCCACATGACCGTGCAGGTTCAATGTTTTTGGCTTGCATGAGTTTGATAGTGACCGGAAGAGGATGTCAGTTATACTGGGGTGCCCTGACAGTACTGTGAGAGTCCTTGTAAAAGGTGCCGATTCATCCATGCTTGGTGTGATAGATAGATCCTTGAACAAGAATGTAATCCAGACAACCAAAGGTCATCTCCACGCTTACTCCTCACTGGGTTTGAGAACACTCGTTATCGGGATGCGCGACTTAAGTGAGTTAGAGTTTGAGGAGTGGCACTTCTCTTTTGAGGCAGCTAGCACAGCTGTAGTTGGCAGGGCTGCTTTGCTTCGTAAGGTTGCTGGCAATGTTGAAAAGAGTCTCACAATACTGGGTGCATCAGCCATTGAAGATAAACTGCAGAAAGGGGTGCCAGAAGCCATAGAATCTTTGAGGACAGCAGGAGTTAAAGTATGGGTTTTGACCGGGGACAAGCAAGAAACTGCCATTTCAATTGGCTACTCGTCAAAGCTCCTAACAAACAAAATGACCCAGATTATAATTAATAGCAACTCTAGGCAGTCATGTCGGAAATGTTTAGAAGATGCCTTGGTCATGTCTAAGAAGCTCGGAATTGGGTCTGAAACATCAGATAACACTGGAACAAGTTCTGAAGCTGCTAGAAGCCCTGTGGCCTTGATTATCGATGGTACGAGCCTTGTCTATATACTTGACAGTGAACTTGAAGCGCAGGTAATTGCTTACAAATTATCCTTTATCTTTCTCTATTTCATATCAAAGCTGTTGTTTGCTGATGTAACTTACTTCTCCTTGGCTTTAGCTCTTCCAATTGGCCAGTACATGTTCCGTGGTCCTTTGTTGCCGGGTGGCTCCATTGCAGAAAGCTGGCATTGTGGCGCTAGTGAAGAAGAGGACTACTGACATGACACTCTCCATTGGAGATGGTATTCTCTTGATTTATGTTAGATAACTATCTTATGCTTCCAAAGAGCAAACTTTAGGAGCCCAGGAATATATTTTTTCTGTTCTCTCTCTGGTGTTTTGGGCTGACAATGGAAAAAATCTTCTGAAACTTCACAGGAGCTAATGACGTCTCAATGATCCAAATGGCTGATGTGGGAGTTGGCATCAGTGGGCAAGAGGGTCGGCAAGCTGTAATGGCATCGGATTTTTCAATGGGGCAATTCAGATTCTTGGTTCCACTTTTATTAGTCCATGGACACTGGAACTACCAGCGAATGGGTTACATGATACTTTACAATTTTTACGGGAATGCCGTCTTTGTTTTTGTTTTATTCTGGTGAGTGATACTTGTTAAATTATGTTTCGATCATTTTATACATGCTAAATTCTTCTAAATATGCCAACTAGTTTAGCTAGTTAAATTTGCGGGGCATTGTTAGCAGGCATAAATTAACTCCTTGCACAAACCTAAACTACTCCTTTGCTTATCCACGAAGAAACAGGGAATTCTTTGCTTATCTGCAATTGAATGCATACCTAATTATCTAAATAAACTCCCTTCCTTCACCACCTTCTTTGAAATGGATGTTTACCCTGCAGCCCATGATAGCAATGGCTTTTAATGTTCTTTTGTGCACTCTGTGCAGGTATGCGCTCTTTGCTTGTTTCACTCTGACGACTGCAATCAACGAGTGGAGCAGCATGCTGTATTCTATAATTTACACTTCACTGCCCACCATTGTTGTTGCTATTTTTGACAAGGACCTAAGTAGAAGGAATCTCCTACAGTACCCTCAGCTTTATGGAGCTGGACAAAGACAAGAGGCGTATGACAGAAAATTGTTTTGGCTAACAATGTCGGACACTCTGTGGCAAAGTGTGGTTGTCTTTTTCGTCCCTCTCTTTGCATATTGGGCGAGCACCATCGATGCGCCAAGTATCGGAGACCTTTGGACACTCGCGGTGGTTATTTTGGTTAATTTGCACTTGGCCATGGACATTATCCGATGGAATTGGATCTTTCACGCAGTTATCTGGGGATCTATAGTAGCAACTTTCATTTGTGTCATGATCCTCGATGCCTTTCCCATGTTTGTTGGTTACTGGTATGCCCTCCTCTCTTTCACAGATGTAGATATTTCCTATATATATTCTTTAGTTATGTTCACAAAAAAGCTATGTACATATGGACTGACTAACACTTGCACCTGGAACGTAATCTGACAGGGCAATCTTCAACATAATGGGGGAGGGGTCTTTTTGGGTGTGCTTGTTTATTATAATCATAGCAGCACTCCTTCCTCGTTTTGTTGTCAAAGTACTGTATCAATACTTCACTCCTGATGACATTCAGATTGCAAGAGAAGCTGAGAAGTTCGGAAATCTAAGGGACATACCGGTAGAAGTAGAAATGAATCCCATCATAGAACCATCTTCTCCTCGGAGATGATGATGATGACTGGTAATCTTGGTTCCATGTAAATGGCCATACATTTTTGTTTTCGTAAAAAAATCATCACATTCTTTTCGGCATCTTGAGAGCATTATCTCTCGATTTCCTGGATTTTCATTGTTTGATATCCGAAGGATACATAGAGGCAGTTATACTTTAGGTATTGTATTTACACGATGTCGTTTCACATGGAAATATTATTGTAAATTGACATTTTTTCGAACAAGATGGAAGAAGTTCAATGCATAAATGTACGTGAATTTTCCCATGAAAGAATCTGATGTGTTTCTTTCGTCTATTGACATCTGCAAATATTCCAATCTAACAAAAGATGTTAAGAGATATTTTAACATCAGGATGCCAAGGCAACAAACAGAAGGAACAGAGTGTAATTTCATATTTTCTTCCTCCCTGATTGAGGTTGCTATATATGACATTAATATCTCAAGCACACCTCAATTAAATCAACACAAATGTGACAGTAAAAGTAAAAACCACCCGCTAAAAACAAGAAATCTTCTCAATTTGAAGTTAATTCAAAAGGTAGAGTTTTCATCTGTTGAGTAACAACTAATCACTAGATCCAAAGATAGCATAATGTAAGAATATATCAAGACAAAACTTTTTTGAATATAAGCAACACATCAATACATTCAGATAGATTTCCTAAGTAAATCCATAAATCTATATATTAACATGTGCAAATATCCCAATAGAACAAAAGAATAGTTAAAAGATATCATAGCAGCATAAGAAAATTAAAGGGTGCAAGGGCAACAACCGAAAGGATAGATGTATAATTTCAGAATTCACATATCCCTGAGCTTTCAATATAATCATTCAACTTAACCACTTGATGGAAATTTCTACATATGAAATTAATATCTCAAACACGTTCTGATTAAACCAACCCAGATTTGATAGTAAAGATTAGTTCTGTCACTGAAAATATATATTAAACCAACCCAGATTCATTTAAGCAACATGAATGGTGGCATATTAATACTTTCGTTATTATTCTTATAACCAAAAGAATATTGAAAAGAAACCTTTCCTTAAAATTTAACATGACTTCCTATTAGCTATTTTTGACATGGAAAGTAAGCCTTCATCTGCATAAAACCTTTAACCAGCAATAGGATGGTGCGTCGACATTCTCTTTCTAAACAAAACAGACCACCTAAAGATAATATAAAGACATGCTTAAACAGATGTCTATACAGCCCAAAACTTACATGTCTTCTTTCAATCAAGAAATATATTATTGAGACAAAATGATAATCCTAGAATGAAAACAAGAAGATTCTAAAATACTGGGAATCAAACAACAACATTTCGAAACAGCATATAATAGAGTGCAAAAATATAAACACTTTATACCAGTAACAAGCAAAAATACACTCATCTGAAGATAAACAACCAGATTGGTCCAAGAAAAAAATAAGAACCCATATCTCAAAAGAAAAAATGCACTCAATCAGAAAAGTTCTATAACCCATCAACTTATTTTAGCAAAAGAAAATAAACAAAAACAGAGTTCTAACAGTGCAGGAAATGATGAAAATAACACAGCATAAAACAACATCAACAAGGGATTCTTTCAAAATTTGAAAAATGCAGAGAAAAGCACAAGCAGTAATGGCTTTTGTAAAAGATCTATGCGAAGTTTCAATATTCAAGTTGTGGTCTCCAATGATCCTCCTGCCTTTAGCCTCACAAAAACCGTAAAAATTGCTAAAGTTCATCAACTAAATTACAAGTTCATAAACTTGATGAAGTATTTAATCAAGTGAAAACAAAGGGGTATGCAGGCAGGCAATCAAGAAGCTACTAATATATTTATCAAGGGAACTATTAACCAGTAGATTTTCTACACAAACTAAACAGTACACAGATTTCCATCATGAGAAAATAGTCAGAAAACCATGCACCTAAGAAAATCAAAGCATCATTAGGCTTCCTTTCCAACCTAGTTACTATAGGCCTTTAATCTTGTTATAACAAGTATGCATGATTTGTAGGAAACCCAAAAGCCCGAAAGAAGACTATGACAGGGGATAGACAGCTAGACATTTACATCTCGAGCTTAAAAAAAAAAAAGCACACCCTAAAACCAGAAAAATCAGAGATTAGAGGCATTGAAAAACACATGGTCATCAAAAAGTTTTTTCCTAAGCTGATATTGGTTATAAGCAGCTGATTGGACAATTTTCATTTCACTTAGATAAAACTGCATGTTCTAATTCAAATCTACCATGCTTAACAAGAAGGAAAGTTTCTTACGCGAGCAACACTAATAGCCAACTTCTTTAAATTCTGAACTTCACCATCCAAATAAAAATTACAGTTCTCACTCGGATCTTCTTTAATTAGTTCCTCGAATGCAAAGCCAAATCCTGTGTAACATTATTGTGGAGTTACATGTAATTTGTGGTGCATTTGACATTCTAGCATCTAATCTTCAGGAAAGCAATAAAAGGCATACCCTTGTGAGAGCAATAAGTGTTGCTTTGCATATCTACATAGCAGCTTTCATCAAATAAAGAAGAAAATCCAAGTTTCTTTAACCTGAAGTAACAAGTTGATTTCAATCAGTGTACAATTAACATTTAAGCATTCCTCAACCCTGACGTGAGAGCATTATAACATAAGCATGGTAACATGTGACACGACCCTAATACATCAAAAACTTGGAATTTGTAAAGACAAACAACACTTTAAGTCTTGATCACTATTGAATCTCTAGTCCTCCTACCCACTGTCCCAAGGAGCTTATAATTGATGTTACTTGTTAAAATTTTCTGACCTTTTCACTGAAATTATGATGATTGGAACATTTGAATATCTTGCCTACTTCATAATTTCACTCATGCAATCCTGTTAGCAGAATTGGTGAAGAAGATTGTTTCAGAAATAGAAGGAAAAAAATAATAATTACAGCATCTAAAATTAATTCCACCTTTCAACTGAAACAAAGTTGTAAAACCATTTGACTTCTTTGCTTCAACTATCGATATGAATGCATCTACAAATTGAATCTATGCCAATTTTAAAATATCAATAACAACGTGAGACAAATAAATAAATCTATGTATTAACATGTGCAAATATCCCAACAGAACAAAAGAATAGTTAAAAGATATTATAGAAGCAGCATATGGAAATTAAAACTTGCAGGGGCAACAAACAGAAGAATAGATGTATGATTTTGTATTTCCCACATCTATGATCTTTCAAGATGACCGACCATTCAACTTAACTACTTGATAAGAGCTGCTATATATGGACAATAATATCTCAATTCACAATTTGATTAAACCAACCCAAATTTTACAGTAAAAATCAACCTTGTCATGTGTTTGGACCATAAAGTGAGCTGGCATTCTACAATCAAGGAAACAACCAAATTCTTCCCACTACATCATTTGCAATATAGTAGAATCAACTTGGAAATAAAATTTGATATCATTTGCAACCAAATTCTTCCCTCTATATTTACAAAAAAATTATATAGAGGGATCACAATAAGAAAAATCAGATGGACTAAACAGTCCATTAACCTTTTGCACAGAACACTCATTTACCTCGCCGAAAATAACCAATCAATTTGTTCCTTTAAGTAAAGTCTGAAATCTTCCACCAAAACTGTCATCACAGCTTCGTTGCATTTCCTTTCTGTTTTGCAGGAAAAAAAACAATTACATAATGAAAAAGAGAGAAAGCACAGAAACCCTAACAAAGAATTCTACAGTAAATCAAAACCCAAAAACTACATAGATATTTTAACGCTGATTGGGAGAAAATAAAACCAGAACCCTAACCGAGCACAAGAAAAAAACCACTCTTGCGTAGTAACTCGTTTCGTTACATCCTCTTGATTGATTTCTTTCATTTAAATTATTGCAAAAAGAAAGAAATTTCCGGGTTTTGATTTCTGCTTTCTGTTTGGGGGCAAAAGCCCCAGAATCCTACGAATTGAATTGCTGCGAATTTTAAAAGAAATCCAAAGCATTAAAACCCTAATATTTAATTACAGATAAAAAATAGAGAAAAATAGGGAGATAAATCAAAACCTTTTGGTAGGCTTTGAGAAGAGAGGGTTTTATTTTGTTTTGTTGCAGGCATTATTCGACCAGAGCCTGCCCGCTCGAATTATTGGACCGGAGCTTCCCATGATGAACCTAAAACCCTAGCCCTAGGGAAAACTTCCATAAAAAGAAAACGAAGGAAAAGAAGAAAGGGAAGGCAAGGGAATGGGAAGGAGAAGCAGGGTCCGGAGAGATTTCGGTGGAAAGAGGTGATATTTTGTGTATTTGTAACGGTTAGGGAAGCCCCGCGTGCCTGTTACGCTGGCGGGGATTCTACGCTAATTTAAAATTGGGCGTGATGGGCCTAATTTAACAGTTAAATGGGCCGAATGTGTATGGTCCTTTAAAGTCTGCCTACCAAAAAATCACACTGAGTTGCAGAAGGCCCAGGTAAAAATAACCTGGGTCACGGCCTCTAAAGTCAAGAGCCCATAAGCTAGTCCCATTTCAATCTTGAATCCAAAACATGCTTTATGCGTCCATCAAGGAATTAATTAAACGATGATGAGGGTGATGATCGAATTTTTAATCTGTTCCTGATTAATAAATAAATTTTATTATTTAACGAAGAGCACATGCCAGCAAAAATTATTAGTTTCTAAAGCTTGATGGCCTACAAAAAAACTCATTGGATTTAGATAATCATTGACATTACTGATATGAAAACCATAGGATACAACCATTTTCTTCACTATTCATATCAACAGTTAAGAAGGTGATTTGTTTTAATTTTATTTATTATCATTTTTTTATATAATTTTACTATTTAATTTTAAGAGAGTTTATTTTTTATATCATTTAATTAAATAAAAAATATTTTTTAAAAATAAAGTTCTTAAATTCAGTAAAATTTATTGGAATAATAGATTTAATGGATTAAATCATGAAATTCATATTTATACAATGTATAATTAATATAATATTAAAATAAAAATGTTATTTAAAATAATTTTTAAAAATTAAATTATATTTTTTTATTTGTTGAAGTTATTTTTTAACTTGTCAAATTAAATAGATATATTAAAATAATTTTTATATGATTTGATTTTAAATAATAACTAAATAAAAAGATAATTCAAGAGATTTAAGATTTTTGAGCTGTGTTTAATATCAATACTTTCTAGTATTTCTTTAATATCATCTTTTTTATTTATTTATTTTAGTAATGACATAACACAGCACTACAAACTATTTGCTACCTATTCTATTTAATTTAAATAAACCAGTAGAGATAATTTTAAAAATAATAATAATAATTCAAAATGCAAGGATGATAATTCAAGAAACATCTATTTAGATCTTAACTCAAAACTATCTTAATTAACTAAACTAGTTAACAGGTAAATAAAATTAAATGAAGCTACTTTCAGGTGGATTATTTTTTATTTAACCTGATTTTTATTAAAAAATAATTAAATTATTTTTTAAAAAAAATAAAATAAAAAATTAGTTTAAACAAATTAATTTTTGTTATTATAAAACAAAAATTTGTACAAACCAACAAGTTTTAGTCATTTTAAAACAAAAATTAATTTTAAATAATTTGATTTAGTTTTTTTTTTTTAACTTGATTTTTTTAGTTTATTATTTTTTAATTTGACCTGTTTTTTCTCGTTATATTTGATTTTTTTAGTTTTTTTATTTGGATTTAGTTTGATTTAATTTTTTTAATTTTAAATTTATAAAATCAAAACCAAAACTAATTGAATTAGCTAATTTTTTAAAATTTTAAATCAATTTAATCAATTGTTCAGTTTTTTAGGTTATTTTGTTTTTCAATTTTCTCGATTTAATGATTTTTTTGGTTATTTTCTCACCCCTATTTTCAGGTGGCGAAGACGGTGTCGTGGTCTCGCCTTTGCAAAACCCCCCCCTCCTGTCTTTATTTCACCATCACCAACCAAGCTGCTTTAACATAAGAGCAAGCTTTCTCCTTCTCGCTTTCCCTTTCATTCCCTTCTTTCACCGAAAAACATCATTTGCGGAAACAGAACTCTGTAGATTTCAAGATTTTGGAAGTGGGTCTTGAAAATCTTCTCTGTTTTTTCGAGACGGAGGCCCTGCGGTGGCTCCAAAGTTGACAGTGATACATCATCCATAAATCTGTAAGTGGGGTTTGTTTTTTCTTGTGTTGAGAAACTGAGAGGATTATACTCAAGAATGAAAAATGTGGTTTGTTTCTTAATGAAATTTTGAAACTTTGACATCCCTCCAAGATGCACTCATTTTAGTGGGTGTGATACGGATGTCGGTTCAATAGTTTTTGTCTTTTTAAGTGACACTTCTTAATCTCTACATCATGGCCTAAAAGATGTCTTTACTGATTCAATCACCAAAACCATTAAATACCCAATATTTTCTGTGGTATATCTGTTCTGACCCTGGAATAATCTTCAAGAGTCAATCTTAAAGCCCCCAGATCCATTTCCTTGATGGATTCTCAGAACCCATTTGAGGAGGAGATCTCAATGAATCAAAGGAAGGGAGGGAATTCAGTTAGGGAAGTGAGGCATGCATCAAGAGGGGGTGATATAGAGTTGTTGGGTTTGTCGCAGAAAGAGATTGGTGATGATGATGCTAGATTGGTTTACTTGAACGATCCTGTAAAGAGTAATGAGAGATACGAGTTTGCTGGTAATTCGATTCGAACTAGTAAATATTCAGTGTTTTCATTTCTTCCAAGGAATTTGTTTCGACAGTTTCATAGAGTAGCGTACATTTATTTTCTCATCATCGCTGTGCTTAATCAGCTTCCTCAGCTGGCAGTCTTCGGCCGGGGAGCTTCCATCATGCCACTTGCATTCGTGCTGTCAGTTACAGCAGTCAAGGATGCTTACGAGGATTGGAGGAGGCATAGGTCAGATAGAGTTGAGAATAATAGATTAGCTTGGGTTTTAGTTGATGATGAGTTTCGACAAAAGAAATGGAAGGATATTCAGGTTGGTGAGATACTCAAGATTCAGGCTAATGAAACCTTTCCTTGTGATATTGTACTTCTCTCAACTAGTGAGCCAACTGGGGTTGCATTTGTGCAGACTGTAAATCTGGATGGAGAATCGAATTTGAAGACTCGGTATGCAAAGCAAGAGACCATTTCAAAGATTCCTGGAGAGGAAATGATTAATGGGTTGATTAAGTGCGAGAGGCCTAATAGAAACATATATGGATTTCAGGCAAACATGGAAGTTGACGGGAAAAGACTGTCACTTGGGCCCTCAAACATTCTTCTTCGTGGCTGTGAGCTCAAGAATACTGCTTGGGCAATTGGAGCTGCTGTTTATTGTGGCCGTGAAACCAAGGCCATGCTTAACAGCTCAGGAGCTCCATCAAAAAGGAGCCAGCTTGAGACACATATGAACTTTGAGACCATCATACTCTCTCTGTTCCTTGTATTTTTGTGCAGTGTTGTTTCTATATGCGCTGCTGTGTGGTTAAGGCGCCGTAAAGATGAGTTAGATATCTTGCCTTTTTATAGGAGAAAGGACTTTGCACACGGGGCTCCACAGAATTTTAATTATTATGGATGGGGTTTGGAGATATTTTTTACATTCCTCATGTCAGTTATTGTATTCCAAATCATGATCCCTATTTCTTTGTACATTTCCATGGAGCTTGTCCGGGTTGGTCAGGCTTATTTTATGATTCGAGATATGCTACTGTATGACGAGGGGTCAAATTCAAGATTTCAGTGCCGGTCTTTAAATATTAATGAGGATTTAGGGCAAATAAAGTATGTTTTCTCTGACAAAACTGGCACTCTTACTGAGAACAAGATGGAATTTCAACGTGCAAGCATATGGGGAGTAGATTACAGTGATGGGAGAACTGTTTCACGAAATGATCCTGCTCAAGGTAGCAAGAGTTTTGTTGTTTTGAACATTTTGATTTTTTTGCATACGACTTTCTCATTTTTTTTTTCCTGTTTGCTGTGTCTGGCAGCAGTGGATGGGAAGATTTTGCAGCCAAAGATGGAGGTGAAGGTTGACCCTCAGCTTCTAGAGTTATCAAGAAGTGGAAAGGATACGAAGGGAGCCAAACATGTTCATGATTTCCTCCTTGCATTGGCAGCATGCAACACTATTGTGCCTCTTGTTGTTGATGACACTTCTGATTCTACAGTAAAGTTGTTGGATTACCAAGGGGAGTCTCCGGATGAGCAAGCACTTGCATATGCTGCTGCTGCATATGGTTTTATGCTTACAGAACGAACTTCTGGTCATATAGTTATTAATATTCAAGGAGAAAGACAGAGGTACCTTTTTACTACTTTTTTCTACCTTTTTTACTGCCAGTTTCTTGGACATATTTTTGCTAACATCTTAATGATGATTACCACTTCCACTTCTATCATTGTTCATATGACTGGGTGTCAAGCTGTAAATTGGCTGGAGACACTTTGGTTACTAATTCAATATTATAGTGGTATCTCTGGGATTAACATTAGGGAAGAGTATGTTCATCTTAGGTTGAAGACATGGATTCGTAAATGAATCGACTTATATTGAAATTAATTAATACTTTCAGCTTTGTGATGGAAAGTTGGGTTCACACGAATATGTTTGTGCTGTTTGGACGAGAAGTTGTCTTTTCATGAGAAGGATCTTTCTGAAACTCGCCCATATACACATATCATTAAAAAATATGGATTGTAATAGCAGGGAGAATGTGAATGGATAATGTTTGCAATGCTTGGATTAGTTGGTTACTTGTTCCGCTAATTATTGTTGCAATGTTGAATTTCTTTCCATGAAAAATGGTTCTTACTGTTTCCTTTTTGGTTGGACTATCCCATATTGGCAGTGCAGGTTCAATGTTTTGGGTTTGCATGAGTTTGATAGTGACCGGAAGAGGATGTCGGTCATATTGGGATGCCCTGACAAGACTGTGAAAGTCTTTGTGAAAGGTGCTGACACATCCATGTTTAGTGTGATAGATAGATCTCTGAACACAAACATTATACATGCAACTGAAGCCCATCTTCAGACTTACTCCTCAATGGGATTGAGAACACTTGTTTTTGGGATCCGTGAATTGAATAATTCAGAGTTTGAGCAGTGGCACTTAGCCTTTGAGGCAGCTAGCACAGCTATAATTGGCAGGGCAGCTTTGCTTCGCAAGGTTGCTAACAATGTCGAAAACAGTCTGACCATTCTCGGTGCTTCTGCAATTGAAGATAAACTGCAACAAGGGGTGCCAGAAGCCATAGAATCTTTGAGGACAGCAGGGATCAAAGCATGGGTTTTAACTGGGGACAAGCAAGAAACTGCTATATCAATTGGCTACTCCTCAAAGCTCCTGACAAGCAAAATGACCTCAATTATAATCAATAGCAACTCTAAGCAGTCTTCAAGGAAGAGTTTAGAAGATGCCTTGGTTACATCTAAGAAGCTCACAATCACATCTGGGATAACACACAATACTGGGGCAAGTGATGCAGCTGCTGTGAATCCAGTGGCGTTGATTATTGATGGCACCAGCCTTGTCCATATACTTGACAGTGAACTCGAAGAACTGGTACTTGCTTGTGAATTCACCTTTATCTTTCTGTTTTTCATGGCAATGGTTTCGTGTGCTGATGTACTTTATTCATTTGGCTGTAGCTCTTTGAATTAGCCAGTAAATGTTCTGTGGTTCTGTGTTGCCGAGTGGCTCCATTGCAAAAAGCTGGAATTGTTGCCCTTGTGAAGAACAGGACTCGTGACATGACACTTGCCATTGGAGATGGTGATTTCCCAACTTATGTTAGATCAGTAGCTTTATGCTTCCCTGAACCAAACTTTGGGGAGCATAAGGAATTACATTGTCTTGTCTCTCATTGGTGTTTTATTCCGATGCTGGAAAATTCTTCTAAATGTTTACAGGTGCAAATGATGTCTCAATGATCCAAATGGCCGATGTTGGAGTTGGCATTAGTGGGCGAGAGGGTCAGCAAGCGGTTATGGCATCAGATTTTGCAATGGGGCAGTTCAGATTCTTAGTTCCACTTTTATTGGTCCATGGACATTGGAATTACCAGCGGATGGGATATATGATACTATATAATTTTTACAGGAATGCAGTGTTTGTTCTTGTTTTGTTTTGGTGAGTAAACTTGCATAAAGCATATTTTGAATTTTTTCTTTCATATGCAGAATTATGCTATATGTAAATATGCTATGTGATGGTAAAATTTGTTGGAAGTTTTAGCAGCCTTCACTTAATTCTTTGCCTGATCCTGAACTTTCTCTTTGGCTATGTGCCTTATTTAAGAAAACTCTGTTTCCCCTTCTCTTTAGAAGTTAAAGAAAAGGGTTCCTTGCAAAGCATTTTCTATATAATTGTAGAATAGCCATCACTCATTAATTGGGAAAGTGAACTCCTTCTAACTGGATGAAGTTAGCTGAAAATTTCATCCCTTCATTTCTTGTACTTAATAAACACTGAAACATTTCTCTGATGAAAGTTGAAACTGTCATGGGAGTGTAGTTAAATTTAGTTATTTTGCAGACACTGTATATAAAAATAAAATGTGCTCCTTTTTAACCCAAAATTTATGTGATATTATCATATGCTTGTTAACACAGTTGTTGATACTTTGTCATCACTGCATAGGTATGTAATCTTTACTTCTTTCACTTTGACGACTGCAATCACTGAGTGGAGCAGCATGTTGTATTCTATTATCTACACAGCATTGCCTACCATTGTAGTTGGTATTCTTGACAAGGATCTAAGTAGAAGGACTCTCCTAAAGTATCCCCAGCTTTATGGAGCAGGGCACAGACAAGAGGCCTACAACACTAAGTTGTTTTGGCTGACAATGATCGACACCTTGTGGCAAAGTGTGGCTGTCTTTTCCATCCCTCTCTTTGCATATTGGGCCAGCAGCATTGACGGATCAAGTATAGGAGATCTGTGGACACTTGCAGTGGTCATTTTGGTTAATTTGCACTTGGCCATGGACATCTTCCGGTGGAGTTGGATTACTCATGCAGTTATATGGGGATCTATCATTGCAACTTTCATTTGTGTCACTGTCATTGATGCTGTGCCTATTTTCACTGGTTACTGGTATGCCCTTTCCTTTGTCATATTGATCAGCTTTTAGAGCCATCCGTAAACACAATGCATACCTTTATATATACTCATCTATGTTCTAAAATGTCGTATCATTTCTGACTTTAGTTTGAACTGGAGATATTATCATCTATCAACATTTGTTGTCAGAAAATAATGTGTATCAATTGGAAGATTCTTGTTTCCAATGTTTTGCATACAACCAATTGAAAACTCCGTTTAAGCATTTAGATTGAGAAACACTTGGATGTGTTATTCTTGTGTGTGTGTGTGTACACTGACATGTTTTATTCTTGTGTGTGTGCGTGCGTGTGTGTGTGTGTGTGTGTGTGTGTGTATAGCATCTGATGTTTGCAATTCAATGTAACATGACAGGGCCATCTTCCATGTCGCAAAGACAGAATTGTTTTGGCTGTGCTTACTCGCCATAGTTTTAGCAGCTCTGATTCCTCGATACGTTGTAAAATTTCTGTATCAATACTATAGTCCTTGTGATATTCAGATAGCAAGAGAAGCTGAGAAGTTTGGGAGTCCCAGGGAGTCGCGGAATACAAAAATAGAAACAAATCCGATATTGGGATCTACACATAGATGACAGAATCATCTCCCTTGTCTTGTATAAAAATATGATTTTCTTAAATTTCTTCTAGTGTAATCGGTTCCTGGATTTTCAAACATACTGTTTGCTATCCAAAGGATAGATGTTGTAATAGTTTAGCTTTGTGTTGTGTCAAATGTTGTATCGCATGAAATTTATTGTGTAATTAGCTTTGTTTACAACAGAAAGAGAGTTCAATGTACACGAATTCTACCACAAAAGGATTTCATATGAGCTTTGAAATTTCAATTGTTACTTCTCTTGATATTCTCGGACGAGTTTTTCTTTGAATGTAATGAAATACAATTTGATATAACTCAATAGAATAGTCTCTCATAATAAGCATGAACCATTCTGGCCCCTGGAAGTACGATGTGGCATGAGATTGGACTTTGAAACTACAGATAGTCATATGCGATACATGGGAAATCAGACTTGTACATACAAGAGGACTAAATCGATCATCAAATTCTTGGAAATATAGGAAGTAGATGGAGTTACATTTACGAACATGAGACATTCAGTTGTAACTTGTTCTGGAACTCTCCCGAACTTGTGCTGCAAAATGCAAGTTCCAAAGCACATCATCAACTGACGGTCTATCAGATGGCTCTTTGGAAAGACATCTAATACATATCTCCATCATTATCTTTAGAGATTCATCTGAGCAATCCTTGTTAATTGCTGGATCAACAATATTCCTTCGAGCTACATCGTCAACTGTCATGCTTACTTTTAACTGCGCATCAATCAAAAGTAAATTGATATCATACATCACAAATCCAGGAATAGTGGTGGTGTCATGGAGACACCAGAGGTACAAGTACTAACCAGATCTTTTGAGACGATGACTTCATTTTTAACCACTGGCCTTCCAAAAATGATTTCAACTAAGATTACTCCCAAGTCATAGATGTCCTCCTTATCCTCATGTCTATCCCTGCATTTGTCGAAAAGATCATGAGTGGATTTAATTTTTCAACAAATGACTAACAACAAATACTAATTTTAATCTAGTAACAAATTCTACAATCCTGATTTGAGCTTGAAAGGAGTCGACCACAGACCTTGTCCCAAAATTTTGTTTTGTTCCAGAAAAAACTGCAGCACCCACCTGAAAGGCTTACAAAAGAGCATGAACATGATATACTTTTGCTTGGAAGAAAAAAAATAAAATCAGGGATCTCTTTATTATCTAGTCATTACCGATCCCTCAGTGAGTAGTGGCAGGTTATAGCTACAGAGTTTTACGAGCAGATCATGGTCCAATAGGACATCTGTTATCTTCAGATTGTTTGGAAATACACCCGGGACAATCCCCGTGTGCAGGAATTGAATACCCCTTGCAACTCCAATAGCAGCTCCTATTCTTTATGGCCATTTCAGCTTGTTCTCTGGAATTCCTACCAAAAGTGCTAAGATCATGAGAATGTGATTGCAAAAATATCATCCTTTATTACACAGAACTATGGACAATCATTTTACCAGAGATGTAGTCTCTAAGAGTCCCATTTGGAACAAACTCAAATATATTAAATATTCTGCTGGTGCTGGAATCATCCTGGCAGCAATCAAAGCAGTGTCCCAGAGCACTGATCAAATGGTTATGTCTGAGTTTTGAAATCAACTCAATATGGTGGGTGAAGTTACGTTGGCTGATCTTTTTCCTGACTTTTGAACTTCTAATAGCAACAAGACTTCCATCATTGAGCTTTCCTTTATACATCTGATACCATAATAATAACAGACGGCTAAATTAGGGAATAATGAAAAAAGGAAGTGTTTTGGTTCTATTTCTGCACTAGCTAAGTAGCAGAAGTTCAAGCATTCCGAATTGCATACCTGACAGTTTGAATCTTCACTAAGTAAGTTCGAGGCATCAAAGTTATTTGTTGCCTCCTTGAGCTCCTCCAGAGAAAAGGTTCGATAATTGGGAAGGCTAGCTCCAAGCTTCATTGTTTGTGATATGTACCCTAACAAAGTAAAAATAAAAAATAAGCAGGATGTTAGACTTGCCGTCTTCACAGGGAAGATTTAAAGACCAGAAAAATCTCCTAAACTCACATGCCTAGCAAGAGAATTAAGATATGAAAAATTTAAAACCATATAACCAACCCTCTTTTAGCATTAAAACGGAAGAGAATTTCTCTCTGTCTAACCCAACAATTGAAAGAAGAAGAAAGTAAGAGCTTACTTGCATCTGAAAGAAGTTTCACTGTGTTCACTGATGACAAATTCTTCACGAGTATCCTTGTTTGGGGTTTTTTCACATCATCCTTACTATATGCTCTCTTGACAAACAACAAAACCAAGCCAACAATTGCAATTCCTCCAACTACTCCTCCCATAGTACTTGGTGCAAGAACTTCCTTATCGTGTCTCTGATGCTTAACATCATCACGAGGCAAGATTTTCACAGCCAGTGCTTCATTGTGACAGAAGTTAAAAGGATGCTGTTCTTGTTCTTTGTTTGACAAGCAGTTTCTAGCATACAGGACAGTTCTGCTCTCTGAACTCAAGTTTAGGCAAGTAGGTAACTCTCCAGTCAAAAGATTTGAGGATAAATCTACATAGGCTAGTTCAGCATGGCAAGACATATTTTCGAAGAGCATCCCTGTAAATTTGTTATGGGAAATATCAAGATAATTCATTGGAGGGCTTGACAACAAAGATGGCAAAAATGGTCCTACAAATCCATTAAAGGAGAGGTCCAGCTTCTGAAGCTGGTGGTAGGTGACTAAGTCAGCAGGTATGCCAGAATGAAAGCTATTATTTCTTAGCACAAGAGTCACCACCTTGTTGTGCAAACCTGGAAAATCAGGTCCAAAGTGATTGTCTTCCAATTCAAGAACTTGGAGGTTGGTCAAGTTATGAAGATCAGGCACTTGTCCAGATAAGTGATTCTTTGAGAGAGAGAGAATTCTTAGATTTTCCAATCTCGTCAGAGAATTTGGTAGATACCCACTAAGGGAATTGTTCTTCAAGCTCAACACAGCCAAAACTGGAAGGAAACCTACCCAACCAGGAACTTCACCACTGAAATTGTTATGGTCCAGAATCAGGGTCTGAAGGCTCCTCAAAGATGCAAGAGATGCCGGAATGGAGCCAGTGAAATAGTTTGAACTTGCATTTAATATCTCAAGTGAAGATAACTGACCAATACTTTCGGGCAGTGGCCCCGAGAAGCCAAGAGAAACCAAAGACAGAACCTTCAAGCTAGATAGACTAGCAACAGTGGCAAAGAAATAGTCTGTGGAGAAATGTGGAGGAACCCCACTATTTCCTACAATGTGAAGCTGCGTTATATTATCTTCATAGCACGCGAGAGTCAGAGATGGAGTTGGTTCAATGTTGCAGAAATCTGTGTTGTCAAAGCTGGTCGAGAAAGATGGGTAGTTAAGAAGCTGCTGGATTCTCAGAAGGGACTGAGACTGGAAGGGCTGCAGCTGGCTTGACCGATGAAAAGAAAGGATAAGAAACAAGAGATGGAGATAGCATGGATAGTGAACTGGTTTTGCCATCAAAACTATCGAATGCAATAGTATTTAGTTGGGATATGAATTATGCAAGGATTTAAAGAGGCTTTTCCCTCACGTCAGCTTTTTTACCAAAGAAGGGTGCGATGAACCAATATCGGGTCCTCGCTATCGATGCACTTCTTGCAACTTCTTTCTTCACAAAAAGTGTACTGAGCTACCCCAGCAGATCAAGCGGTGCCCTCACCCTCTCACGACCCTACCTGATAAGGTCAGGAATGCATTGCTGGTAGAAAGGATGAGATGACCTGTGGACACCTGAGATAGACTGGCTGACCTAACTTAAAATCGAACTATGAACTTTTTAACTATAATAACTTAAATATACGAGCTATAGAAGTTTAATTAATACAAACTTAATTTTATTGGATTCTTGACTTAAAATCTTATAAACACTCTAAATCTTAGCCAAAAACAATATCATCTAAGAAAGATATGAAAATACTAGTAAGAAATTAGTTTTTTATTTGCAATATTTAGATTTATTTTTTTTCCCTTTAAAAATTAAGTAATCATCTTTCATAGTTAAAGATTAAGTTTTTTAACAATCTTATCACTTGTGAGGCAATGATTGCACTTGCTTCTTCTAAATTATACTCCAATTAATTTCCTTACTGGTGGAAATTGGACAGGGTTCTTGCTTTTTTTCTAAGTCCCAAGGAAACCATGAGAGATTATTAAGCCCTTTAACCACCACATAAGCAGAGTTATATGCCTGCATTAAACACATAAACCATGCCCTGAAAGCTTTGCATTAAAGTTATGAACCAAAGCAAAGCAGATTCTGCACTGCTGAGCTACAGTACAGCTAAAAAAACAAAGTGCACGAATAAATAGAAAGTGGTAAGTCACGTCTGTATCAGTGTACCAGAAATTGGCACGTCATACCACACAAGCATCCAGTAGCGTCTCGATATTCTGGCATGTTTACAAAGGATGTGCCTTTTTTTCTCATCAACGACTAGTATTGGTCACGTGATTTTCAGTCCAAGTGGAGTGCTGTGAACTGTTTGGCCACCCGGATAATAGAAATTGTTTTTCTTTTCTTTTCTTCTCAACATTGGTTAGGGTATTAGTTGGATCTTGCTTCCCAAGAGCCAAGAAGCCATGATGAATTCAAGAAAAATTTGTATATTTAAGACCAAAAGGATAATAACTCTTTTACTGCCTGTCACTGTTTTATCCACCATCATTCCCATCTTTGATCATGTAGGGATATTATTGCATAGAGTGTTTAGGTAGACAAGACTAGTTGCCACCACCACTCACGTCTTTAGTAATGCATTTAATAGTTTAATTGGTTAAGTTATGATTTTATTTTTAAAAAAAATTCAGTTTAAGTTATATAAATTTCAGAATTAATGAAAATTTATATTATTATTAATTTTTAAAATGGTAAGATTAATTAAGATACATATAAATTAATCTAAATATTTATTTGTTTAAAAAAATAATGAATTGCATTAACTTGAAGAAATTGAATGGATAGTTGATGAGATGTTTTTATTTTTTTGAGTTTAAATCTTGATAAGGTATTATTAATTTTTTTTAGATGCACCAATCCATACAGAGAGCACGTCCAAATTGCATGAAAAGTTTTAATTTTAGAATATTTAATGTTAATTGAAAAAAGCAATTTACTGGTAGATGGCGCATGACCTGGTCGGTACAAGAAGACAAGGGAATGTGAGTTCA